TTTTTTGTGAGATTCCTCAACTTAAGATAATTTTTAACTACTAGTTTGCTATATATGGTCATCTTTCTCAGCTTATTTAATGCCCTGTTCCTTTCAATTATTGCAGAGTTACATGCAGAATCAAACCACAAAAATTGACAAATAACTTTTCTATCAAGACCAAGCTGATTACCCAACACAAAAATATGGCTATTTAAAACATCTAGATTAATTTGATCTTCATCTAAACATCACCATTTTTATAAAAAAGCAGATCTAAATTTCATACTTAATTCCATGTCATCCTTATTCCAAAATAATCTATACGCTGTACTCATTTTATGGTGAGGCTTGACACAATCATTAGTATGATTGCCACACAATATCAAAGCAAATTGGGAAATGATCCAACTCTATTCTGTTATCTATAAAAAAAAAGTCTAAAATATAAACTCATCAAATTAAAATGTATTAACAAATAATCAGTTACTGAAGATCCCAAAAAAAGTAAGTTTGCCAAAACTTCTGCTATTCAAAATAACCAAATTCTTTTGTTCACAGAATTTTAAAAAATTTTACCGCAATCATTTAAAATTATGTCTTTAGAATATCTTTCAAATTGCCATGAAGAACAATCTCTCAGAATAGATTTTAGCCATTGCTGTTCACAGAGACCAATTCTAGAATTACAATTTCCACAAATAATAACTTCCTTATCACCTATAGTGAGTTCCAGTCTTGAGAAAATTTTCATTCAAAAATTTTCATGCCAGTAGATACAGTAGAGCGTCGTTTATCCAAATCAATTGGGGACTGGGGTTGTTCGGATAACTGATTATGTACACAAAATATATTAACCTATCCCATGTTGAAATTTTTCTCCGTTGCGTGTCACTTCGTGTTGAATTTTCGTTGATATTAAGCCTAACGTAAACTTTTTAAAATAATAATCGTGGCTATTGTATCGTTAAAAATTATTTTTTTATTTTGTACAAACAAAATAAATATATTGAAAAATATAAAAACCAAAAAAATATACTTTAGAAATTGATCTAGTATCAAAAATGTTTGATTCAGCAGGACACAGTCCTCAGAAAAACACCACACAAAAGTGCCAGTGCTGCCAGCTAAAACACACACACCAACAAAGAAATATTGGAGTAGCCCAAGATATAGCCAAAGATTGCAATGCCATAGCACTAGCGAAAATTTAAATTTGCTGACTGGAATGCTTTCGGATAAACGACGCTCTACTGTAAATACAAAAGTCAAAGTCTTTCCATGAATTTTGATATCAATAAATTAAGAAGAATTTATCATTCAAAACTATATTAAATTTATAAGTAGTCTTTACCAAAAAAAAAAAATCCACCCATCAAGTGGCCTCTTCGAGAAAGCAAAATCCAGGTATATAAATAAGTTCAAACAGACCCGAAGTCTCAGCTGACACTAACCTTAAATCCCCATTCCACCATGTCTCCGAGAGAAAAATAAACTCAAATTGCTTTACATAAGACCAAAATGTCTTTGGTTTATTCATTATTTCAGCACAGTTCCAAACCAAAAAATTTATACCAGCACTGTCAAAATGTATCTATATTTTCCACCAATTTACCTTGATAGTTATAATGATATGTTTTATCATCAATCACTACCAGATTTTTTTAAACACAATTGACTTAGCCCCATCTTCTTTTTTCTCTTTAGCAAATAATTTTAATGCTCTTAATGCCACTCTAACTTGCTCAGGGTTGTCATTATTTATATAAATACCCGAACCTTTAAACCTATTAGCTCTTCCTTTTATCAATAACTTATCTTTATAATCAAAGAAGCTATAAGATACGAGTTTCAACCTCCCTGGTGATCACTTACCAAGTCTAAAAACTCTATCAATACTTAAATTCTCCACCTCAAGTGAATGCCTAAACAAATATATCAGTGATTTTATTATCTCATTATTTTCCTCAGGAGTTTCCTTAACTCCTGAAACTATAATAATATTACGTCTACTAAAACACTCAAACTGCAGAATTGCATTAAAGATAGTGGAAAGTTGTAACTCAAGTTGATTCATAGTTGTAGAAATATATGTAGTAGATCCACTAGAGTCTGACTTTTCCAATTGCTCCACTTGTGTTTCTAAATCCACTAACACCTTGTCTAAATTCATAACCAATGTCATAACCCATACCTGAAGATGATCTAAACATGAAATCAAATTATCCAATTTATCATTCAAACTCTGGTTCATTTTAATCAAGGCTACCAGACCCTTTTTCACCTCAAAGTCACCTTCTAACAGTTGATCAACACTTAAATTACCAATTCCCTTGGAGAGACGAGACTTTATTCTATGTGAATCATAATCCACAGGAGAACTTTTGTGTGAGAAAGTCTTTTGCTTTGTAGCCATAAATAGTACCTGGAAAAATATGAAAATAAGAAATATGCAAAACAGGTTAGCAAAAGGTAGTCACAGCCAATCAATACCAAATTAACCCTCCAATTAGCTTGTCAAATTTTAATTTCATATTTCATAAATTATTTCATTGTGTGTTATTATTTGTTGTAACAGCAAAAATATTTGGAATTATTTAAATATTTTACAATCTAATAATTGCAAAAAGTAATTGCTTGTTTTTAGTTATATTAGTTGTATTTAGTTATGACTGAAGATGAGAAATTACACATTAAAAAATTTTGTCTGTTGAATGTTTTGTTACCATACATAAATCATTTTGAATATTTAAATAAAATGAAATTAGAAACATTTGCTTTTCTGTCAAGTTATGATTGTTCTTGTATTCTAAAAATATTATTTGAATTTCAAATACCATCTGTTTCACATTTGGATTTCTCCAAATGTGAAGGAGAAAGCAGGTAGAAAAATGGGCAATGTTCACAATGCTTAAGGAAAAGTTCATGCTTTGAACTACTCTTTACTATTGTTATATTGAGATCTGTCAATAATTTCAATATTGAAACAAAAAGATATAATACTAATAATTATATTTAATTTTAATTTTTGTTTAATTACTATATATTATTTAATTTTCACAGTAATACATAAGAATTGATTTTATGCAGTACATTATCCATCTTATCAACATTTTTATCATTTTCATTTGATTCCAAAACTGCCTATAACTTCTCTTAGCTTTGTAGCAGTCATCTCTTTTGCTACTGGATTCAATCAACTAGTATATGTGCACTTGTGTTGATGGTCTTGGCTAAGACAGACAGACTATAATTATACACTGGACGACAAAAAAAATAACGCACCATGAAGGACTTGTTGGATTTGAATAAAAATTTGTATGTTGCATCATCTTAGCTAGATATGTAAATGATTAGCTTTTGAGAGCAGGTTGTTGTGTTACATCGCCACCAGAGGGAAAAAAATGCTTTCGCTATCTGGTATAAAAGTGCATGCTGTGACGACTTGTGCATATGTTCTGCGCTTTTATTCGTGGTTTCGACTTCATTGTGTGACAGACATGCCTCTACGACGCAATCGACAACCTTACACTCAGTTAAGTGAGTTTGAGAGAGGTCGCATTGTTGGATTGAGAGAAGGAGGATGGTCATACCGTCGGATTGGCCGCCATCTTAACCGTTCTGATAGAACTGTTAGGATGTGTTATGAGCAGTGGGTAAGTAGGGGTACACACGAACGGCAAACGGGTTCCGGACGCCATCGACAGACCACCAGAAGGGAGGATCGTCTCATTGTACGTCAAGCACGGACAGCACCTACAGCTTCATCATCTACCATTCATGCAGCGGTGGCACCTGCATTACAGAACCGTGTATCCAGCCGCACCATTTCCAGGCGCTTAGTAGAAGGCGGATTGATCTCCCGATGCCCAGTACGTGTTCTACCGTTAACAGCCACCCACCGACGCCTCCGTCTGCAGTGGTGTCGTGCACGACAATCGTGGACAGCTACCGACTGGCAGCGTATTGTCTTCAGTGACGAATCCCGCTTTTGTTTGGGGGCTCACGATGGCCGTGTGAGAGTATGGCGGCCTGCTGGTCAAGGTGTCAACCCGGCCTATACTGTGGAGCGGCACACGGGTCCAACCCCCAGTGTTATGGTGTGGGGAGCCATAACATACGACAGTAGGACGCCTCTAGTTGTCATGCGTACTACCCTCACAGCCCAACGATATGTGCAAGACATCCTCCAGCCACATGTGTTGCCCCTCATGGCAGGGCTTCCGACAGGCATATTCCAGCAGGATAATGCCCGGCCACACACTGCAGCGGTCTCCCAAGCATGCCTACGTAACGTTGCCACACTTCCTTGGCCTGCACGATCTCCAGATTTATCGTTAATCGAACATGTGTGGGACCACCTAGGTCGCCAGCTGCGACAGCCACAGGATCTGACGAATCTTGAGTCCCAATTGCATCATGCATGGTCAGATATGCCTCAGAACATTATTCGTGACCTCTATGCCTCCATGCCAAGGCGTATCACAGCTTGTATCCGTGCTAGAGGCGGCCCAACAGGATATTAGCACCTGCACTGTATTGTATATTACTGAACAATAAAGTATGTTTTTGTTTTATGGTTGCAATCATATACCTGTCTAGCTATGATGATGTCATATACCAATTTTTATTCAAATCCAACAAGTCCTTCATGGTGCGTTATTTTTTTTGTCGTCCAGTGTATTAATTTTTCTATTTTTATACATATTGAACTGTAATTTAAATAGAAATAAAATTTATATTTTCGAACTATCTAGATTTTTATTATGATGACATATATCAGTATAAAAGTTATTAGTTAAGAAGCTTAGTTTGATGGTGTTAAATTTACTAAAATTAAACACTGTTAATAAACATGTCAAACATTGTTGGCATTTTAACACCATCAAACTAAGTTTCTTAACTGATTATTTTTATTGTAATTTAATCTGTAGAATTAGAATCCAAAAATAATTATTAAAACATTAAATATTTAAAATGTGCTAACTTTTTAATTTAATTTATTGATATTTTTCAAATAGGTGAAACCTCATCAGCAAAAATATACTATGCTCTACATAGAAGATCAGAAAGAAATAATGAATACTTTTTGGAATCATTGTTATGAAGCAATTATGGTTGCTATGCATAAACGAAATCGAGAAGTTGGTGAAAGTAAGCTTCGGTTTCAGGTAGGTAATAAAATAAATAAATAGTTTTTCTGATAAAAGTATTGGAGATAAATCAGTTATTTTATTAGGTTTTTATTTCAAAATCCAACAGGAATTTATCATTTGCAAGTGTTAAAAATATTAAAGACTAATAAATTTTTAAATATTTTCATTATATTTTTGTTAACTATTCAAAAATGTTTGTTTATATTAATACATGTAAGCTGTTATTTGAATGTTTATTTTATAATATATTTAAATTTTTATCAAAATAATAGATTATATATGACTAAAAGACATTTTGTTTAAATCAGAAATGGATGATTTAACTACATTATAATTTTTTGATATATTTCTTTAGTCACAAATTATGGAAAATTTTCGTTCAACAGTTGCAGAAGAGCATAACCGTTATCAGGATATGCAAACTAATTTGCGTTACCAAAATATATTTATTAGACGTCAATGGAGAATGACAAAATTAAATTTGTGCAGTCCTTGTGGACCTTGGAGTCATAAGTAAATATTTTATATATTATACTCATAAATAGTTTTATTTTATGAAATAAAATAAATATTGGGAAGATATTAATTATTAAATATAAGTTAGATTAATTTTACATTATTATAAAAAGAAAAGATTAATTTGCAAATTATGATAAGAATTAATAAATCACAAAATTATTATTAGGCTTAATATTTTTTTCATATACTTAGATTACACTAGATAACTAAGTGTACAGTTGACTTTTAAATCCAACATTAACATTCTATTGTGGTGGGTTTGTTACAGGACAGGTATACAATTCCGCGAATGAAAAGTTACAAACACAAGAAAGACAAAAAAAAAACAATTATCACACAGAATACTTTACTTTAGGAATCCCAACTTTACAAACTTTATGCCTCTTTTATACAGAGAAAAAGGAACAGGCTTGTCCTCCACTGTCGGCGGGGTTCGTACACGTGACAACAAAAAAAATACTTATATAACTAACTTATATCTAACTTATAACTAATGAAAAAGTAAGAACATAGGACAGATGAATATGGAAACAAAAGTAGGGAGAATAGAAATACCCGGGATTTCTTTTGGTACATATATACACGGTTTGAAGTATGGCGCCTCTTTACTATCTTTTTCCCCAAGGTCTGTTCTGCTCTTCTCGATTGTCGAATAATTCTCTTCATTCCTTGGACTCTTCGTTGTCCTCGTGGCCCTTTTCTTTTATTATCGTCTTTTTCTTTTCTTGCCGGTTCAGGTCACGAGCACTCCTTTTTTCGATCTGCTCTTGTCGGAGTCTCTCCCCAGAATGCCCTATTCCTGACTGGTCTTTTTCCATGGCCCCACTCCCTCTTTTGTTCTTATTTTCTTAGAAAAAGTAATCCTACCCCAGGGGCAAAAGGAGTAGGACAGAAGGTCTTAGAAGAGACAAAGAAACAGGAAGGAAGTATAGGATTAAATCGAAGAAAAAAATATATACAATATCATGGCCGACGGCCACAGTATAATTGATGATTGACATTGCTGATGATATATATTTCTTAAGATAGTCCCAAAAAATTCCATAACCTTACAGAATAATCTAGAAAATATAACATTTTGAAACAATATAAAAACCTCTATAACATTTTGAAGTGATTTAGAAATTGATTGCAATTTATTATTAAGGGAGATAATTAAAAGTCATTAAAAAAATTTTTCAAAGTTTAAAACTTCACTTTGCCATTAATAACTTTTACAAATTGATAAATAATCACAGAAATATAATAATCATTGTTATTTTTTTATATCAAGGTATATAATTTAGACTAGCTGTTACCCGCGACTTCACCTGCGGAGGTTTTGCAAGCAAACCCCATTTATATTCAGTATTTTGAAAACCATAGTAATTGTTATATAACATCTACCGCTGAGAATGATGAGAATTGCCAAGAATCAAATGAACTGTTTTCAATTTGATCAATTTTCTGGAATGTTTACAATCGTTCTATAATCGAACCAATATGCAATAACAAATTTGAATTTAAAACGGTTCAAACATTTGGTCAAAAAATCAAAATATATAAAAATATTTATAACAATGTCTGAAATGTTATCAATTTAATACACCTAAGTACTCAATGAAAATTAAATGTAGTTGTAAACAAAAAATCACATCTAAAATAGTACAGTAGAAGCCATTTTTCTGGTTAAGCCTTAATCCTCTCCCTTTCCCCCAGCGGGGGAATTTCGAAAAATCCCTTCTTAGTATGCGTTTTCATGACGTACCCTAACTGTGTGCCAAATTTCATCTTTTTAGGTTCAGCGGTTTGCTCTGGGCAATGATGAATCAGTCAGTCAGGACAAGTAATTTTATATATTTAGATATGTATAATCAGATATGCTTTAATAGTGTTACAGAAGCTTTCAAGTACTTTAGAGTTATCTCACTCAGTTTCAGGAAAAACAAACAAGAACATGTTGCTATGGAACCCAAATAGAACATTCAAATATTTTGAAAAATAAATAAATAAAATCAAAAATAATAAAATAGAATAGATAAATAAATAAAAGATCATCAAAGTATCTTCTAAGATAAGGAGAGATTATCGACAGTAATTACATAAATTATAATAAAACAAGGAGGTGCTATTTTAATGATGGTTAGATAGAGAATGTGTTAGGACACCTCCAAGATCTTGCTAAGTTTTTTAAGTCTATATAGTTGTTTGAATTAATTGCTAAGCTTTTCTTGTAGATCCATGTAGACTTGGCAATAAAGTGGTTAGCTTCAGATTAAAAATTCTTGAGCACTTATATTTTTTTTCATGTAGCATTAAAGTCCATCCAGCGGTGTTTGCACAATGATGGTGTTGTTCCTGCTGATTCATGTCTTTTTAATGTTTATCATTCTTTCTATTGTGAATCAGAATCCTGAGATAATCCAAAACTTTTTGAAAGCACTTTAATTACTCCCTCCTGCTTAATTTAAAGAAACCAATTTTTTATTTTGTTTAAAAACATTTTCAGTTTCTATCAAGCCATCATCATTTTCACTTGTTACCTTTTAAAACTTTTCACAGAACTTTGAGAAATTTTTAAGGGCAACAGGTGAAACTGATGATGGCTTGATATAAGCTGAAAATGTTTTTAAAGAAAATAAAGAATTGGTTTCTTTAAATTTTGCAGGATGAAGAAATTAAAGTACAAATGGTACTATCTGAAATATTTGAATGCTGTTTAATAGTTATTTATATACTCCATATCTCATAATTTTAATTGTCTGGTTGTGGAGTTATAGTTTATTAATAAAAATAGTTTTTTCTAACTTTGATTTACTTACTCTGATAATAAAAATAATGTTGATGGAGGAATTCATGAAAACATTTTTTCTTAATTAGATTTTAATTAATTTCTCACTGTAAAATTTTATTGTTTTTTGTAAATCTGTTTAAAATGTTTAATTCCAGTAAAAATTTAATGCAAAATATATAATATAGATAAATCAATAACTATATTTAAATATTAAATTTTTGTAATAGGGACCCTCGTATTCATTATTGGAAATTATCTCATCATGAAAATATTTATCGTATGAGATTAAAATTAGTTCTGAATTATAACTTTGATGACCATCATAATGCTAGTAGACTTCGAGACAATCAAGGTAGGGTATTATTATAAAAATCTATTTAAAAAAGAAAAATATAGTGAATTTAATCTGAACTTTGCTTAAACCAAATCTATTTTATGTTTTTTCTTTTTATTATTTTATCAAGTTGCTAATAAATTTTATGTGATTTTGTGTTGTGCTTAATTATAACAAATTAATAAAAATAGAATATGCAGTACCAAATGTTAAATAATAGTGGAAATATCATGAAACAAATTGTATTATTATTATTTTTTTCATTTTTTATAACTGTATATTTTTGTCATCTAGTTCACAGCCTTTTTCAAGCAAGAATCTTAACAGAAATACAGATTTTATGCTTTAGTAGTTTCAATCGACTTAAATTTGAGAACTGTTTATAGATATTCTCAACAAATTTCAAAAAATAACTTCATTTCATATGTCCAAGCCATCCAACTCAGAAGATTAGAAGTTTTTCCCCTTCTCAGTTTAGTGCACAAGCCAAAGATTCAATTAATCAGGTCTGCAAAAGACAGTATTTAAATGCTTAATTAATAGAAGTTTTGATTTATGTTTGAAATGGAAGTTTTATGATCATTTGTTGCTAAGTTAAGTTGCTCAAATTATTTTAAATGAAATTACTAGTGAATATTGATCCATAGAACAGATCTATTTATGACTTTTGCTTATAATTCTCATTTAGAAGATTGATATTTTGATTACTATATAACTTGGAAATTGTATAAATTTTTATCTTGATTAATTTGTATCAAAATTAACTTTGTCATCGTAATATCAAAGATTTCATTTAATATTATCATCTGATTAATTCACCTGTATAGTAAATCTGAGGATGGTTTTTTTTAAGAAAATCTCAAATGTTTCCAATAAATTATGTGGATGAAAAAGCACAGTTTAGTTTTGGCTGCAGATTTTACATGTTGTTTTTAATTACACAATTACTGTAATTTTATATGGATATCCTTGACAACTTATTGGATTATAAGTTGTCAAGGATGGTTTATATTCTGCAGAAAACTACTAGAAAAGAAATAAAACTTTGATTAGCCTATCCCACTATATATCCTGCATATCTGGGGCAGATGTTGATAGCATGATACTTGTTTATAATTTAGAACAGTGATTCCAAAAGTGGGTGCTACTCCCTCCTGTGGGCAGTGAGTAAATCCAGAGGGACAAAAAGAAGCAAGTGAGCAGCAGGGTATTGAACAGTGATCATAGGCAAAGGTTGGCATCACTGACAACCTTTCCTTTTCCTCTGTTAAACAGGTAAGAAGAAACATTGCATTTAATGGTTTTCATATGTTGAGAACATTGAGAACAATGTTCAGTAAGGACATAAAGTGTGAGGTTCATAGAAAAGTTTTCCTAAGAATATTTCCAACCCTTTCTTACATAAGCGAAAATGGGTTAGGGGATGTTGGGTATAACTTTACGAAACCAAGGCTCAAAAAAGTTTGGGAATCACTGATTTGGAAGGTATAAAATGTACCATCTTAAGCATTAAAATGTTGTTTATAATTACATCTACAATGAAGTGTAATAAAAAAAGTAAGTGAAACAAAAAAAGAACTCTAAGAAGAACCACCTAAACTTCACTAATGACAATACAAATGCCTAACAAATGAAAAAGTTTATTAATCATATCACTTTATTTTTATTTTGTTTATAAAATGATATTAACAAAATAAATGTTAAAACAAAGTCAGAAAAATCAAATAGAAAATAATTTCAATGTTATGAATTTGAGAATGATTGTTTAGCTCTTATTTACTGTACAGAATTCTAAACTTGTTTCAGATAGATATTTCACTGGAAAAAAGAAAGCAGAATTTGAAATATAATGTATTTTTTACAGCAAATTTGATTTTTAATGTTGGTTTCAAAATAAGAATAACAATGAGCAATCATTTATGAATAACAGCAAATTGTTTTTATGCTTGCTTCATTCATTAATATATTGAAAAGAAATTTTCAAAATTAATTATAATAATTGTAAGAATGTAATTATAAAATATATTCTTTGTAATGCTGAGAAAGAATTTAAATTTTTCTTATTTTTAAATATTAATTATTCCTATTAGTGGTAAATATTTTTCACTGAGATAAAGTTCAGCATGTTAAAATATGAAACAATTTGCAAAACAGAAAAATTTATTGGAAAGGACATCATTGCTAATGAAATATTTGTCACTGTTTTCACTTTTCATTAATAATAATTGTTTAGTTGTCAAAATTCACTTTTTAGCAATGAAAAGAGAAATGAACTTATAATGTATTAGAATAACAATTATTACATCACTTGCCTTAATCATCCAAGTTCTTTGAAATCAGGTTATTATATATATTGAGGAGAATTAGAAATCAACTTTCAAGATAGATTCAAATAAAAGTATCTAATTAATATCAATTAAAGTGTGGATTGAACATAAAGAAAAAGAATGGTAGAAAACTAAATGTAAAATATACATCTTGTTTGGATTCAGAAAAAATGTTGATAGTGAATGAATACATGAGTAATCATGAAGTTCCTGGAATTGCCTTCCAGATGATGAAGGAGAGATAAAATTTTATGCACACTGTTATAGGGAAAGATGACAATGTCTGCTCACAGCTTCAACTGGTTCAGATGAAGATACAATCATTAGAGTGGCACATAACAATGTATCTCTGATCAAAGACATCACATTTTGTGAAATCCAAAGAAAAGTTCTGCTCATTGCATTCTTTAACATGGATGGTTTGATGCCTGAGTTTGTACTGCCTGAACAGTATTATTGGTCATTTCCATATGCAAGTTTTGCTTAGGTTGCAAGATGCAATTCTGAAAAAACAGTGACAAGTAGCAGGGATGGAAGGTTTCTGCATCATGATAACACACACAGTCACTCATCACTTATGCAGCAATTTCTTACTGATGACAAAAGACTTTGTTGTTGACAACTACTTAACTTACTGAAACTTGCTCCAAATGAATTTTGGCTATTTTCATATGCTAAAAATAGATCTCAAGGGAATATATTTCACAATCCTGGTGGACATTAAATCAGATGTGATAGCCGAACTCCTGAGTATTCCAAAAAAAAAAAGCCTTCTAATTTTGCTTCCAACAATGGTAGGATCAATTGAACAAATTTGTGTGCGCTGAAAAGCCCTACTTTGAAGATGGTTAACTAAGTATTTCCGTATATCCTACCATTACAGTGCTATACCATAATTCCAGAAACTTTTTAACTAGGGTTTAATGTATAAAATAAATAAATAAAAATTTTAAGGTAATTTCTAACTTTTTATATAATCATTTTATAACATGTTAAATTATTTCCTTTTATAAAATTGTCAAATTTATTTAACTACTGTATTTTATGGCATATAATACATACAGGTATACAACACACATTCCTGTTCTAGCACTGAATATTTAGGAAAAATTACTTAGTATATTTAAGACATTTGCTGGTCAAAAAATTATTTTTATTGTATTCTGGTTTAAAATAAAAATATAAAAAGTAAAATTAGAATGTACACTTTTATTTATCAGGGGAAAAAAGGAGATTTAAAAAAAGTTATATACAATTAAAATTTACTATTAAAATATGTTATGTATTAAATTGGTAATATGGTAAATTTAAATTGACATGAATGAACGGCTTATCTACAGGAGAAAATAAAATTTCAGTTAAAATGCCCAGTATCTACAAATATCAGTACAAGCAATTTGGAGAATTCATTAGCCTATTCACAACTTTAAATATAAGAAGCAGGACAACTTTTTTTTTTTTTTTGACAAGTTGCATTTTATATGCCATAAAAAAACAGTATATTTGAAAACATTATAAACTATTTTACTGTAACATAATCATTTTTTAATTGAATATAAATAATCATGATAATGATAATATGAGGATGAATAACTTACACATATATCCAAATTAAAAAAATATTAATCTGAGAATATATTTTTTTTTTCGATAAATATAGTAGTATAAATACTTTTTATTTTAGGAGCTGCTAAAAAATTTAGTATGGGAAGTTTGCCACCAATAGTAAGAGAAGCAGTAGTTTCCGAACAGCAAGAAGATTCATTAGCTGATGAAGATTTGCAAGTAATATCTACAAGCCAGTAAGTTTATGTTTTGTTTTGTTTTGCTTGTGTTTGATTACACAGGGGTTGGTTGAAAAGTTTGTGCAGTCTGATATAGAGGACAGGTAAATAAAAAAAAATAATGTTTATTAATTTAACTGTTTATGTTTTGTCACTTAACTGACTGACAAAATTAGTTTTTAATTTATTGGATCATTTGTATTTGATGATAGTTTTAATAGCCATTAGCAGCTATTGTGGAAAAAAGAAAATGGAAAACATTGAAAATTGTGCAGTGATCTCATGAAATACTCATGAAAAACAAATGTTGTCTATGGAAATTTATAAGGATATGCAGGGTACATTGGATGAGTCTTGCCCTTTCTACACTACGATATGAAAATGGGAAATGAATTTAAACAGAAAAGAACAAGCTTGGAGATGATTGATCTGGATGACCAAAAACAGTTACAACACCAGAATTATTTGATAAAGTACACAACATGGTTTTAGAAGATGGCAATTGAAGGCTTCAGAAATAGTAGGCTTTGGGCATCTGAAAGGAACAAGTACTTCATATTTTATATAAAGAATTGGATATGCCAAGATGGCTGCCATACTTGTTCACAAACAAACAAACAACAATTTGCTGTCAGAAGTCTCAGAACAATTTGTTGCTGTTTTGCAAAACTTCAGTTTTTTTTTTTTTAATCACTTTGTCACAACTGATGAAACTTGGATTCATTATAACACAAGCATCCAAGCAACGTTCAAAATTGTGGACAAAATGTGGAGAATCTGCATCAAAAAGAAAAGCAAAGAAATAAATATATATCATTTTTAAATGTTTTATATTTAGTAGTGCAAACTTTTTGGCTCTTTCCCTTACATTTAGATCTTTGCAAGAAACTGGAACATATTTTCTAATATCTAGAAAGAAAATACAAAACTTTTAAAATTATTTTTGAAAAATTGTATGTAAATTTAGCAAATCATTGTTTCTGATTATATATGAATAATTTACTATTCATTTTTTTAACTTTAAAATTCAGAGGCTAGCCAGCTAATTATGCATATGATTTTATAAATATTGTTTTGTAATACTGTTATAAGTAGTGTTTAAAAATACATAAACTTTTGTTTTATAGACATTGAAAAAAGAAAATAAGAATTATAATAAATATAAATTTATCTATTTGCTATTATTGATTTTGTTTAAGATATAGAGAAACTGCTAAATAACTTACTACTTTTCTGTATTAACTGCTTTAATTTTTGTGAATGCACTGTATATGTTAAAATGACTGTTTAAGTGTTGTTGTTTTTGAATGACAATTTATAATTAAAAACTGGTTTACTTTGAGAAATTTTTTTTAATGAAGATAAACAATTTCCAAATTTTTTATAACATATATAAAACTGTATAGAGTTTTCATTACTTTATATATTTTAATTTTATATATAAAATTATAAAATTCTTTAACATATTTTCTTTGTCTATATTGTAACATTCTGATTTCAACTAACAAATCAATTTGTTTTCATTTCATGATTGATAAGATGACCAATCTGTTTTTTTTACATCTGTTCAGTTTACAATTTTATTAAAAAATTAAAATTTTTTTTAATATAACAATTATTATTTCTTTATAAATACCATTTCTTTGGACTTATCAGCATTCATTAACGTTAAGTTTTCAGATCCTTCTACTTAAATTCTGTACAATTTCTTTTAAGTGTATGTTCCTTCTTTCCTGGTACATTTGGACAAAACTTCTAATGCTTTACTTCTCAATTTCTCAAACTTCAGTAAGTGAATATCTTTGATTAAATATTTTATTTCTGTAGAAGAAAGTTTTCAATTCATTGAGCCAAACAAGGACATTCACAGAATCTAATTCTAAAAGCTTTTAAATTCTTATGGTAAATCTGATACACAGATTTCAAAATCTAAAATTGAAGAAAATCTCCCTTTTCAATTTTATAACATCAATTTGGCTGGTACAGAGTATTTAATAATTAGCTAGTACTGAGTATTCAAAAATAAGTTGATTAACATGTTGATAATTATAGAGATTGAAGTAAAATTAGAGTATTAAAATTAACTTGGTCTCTGTATTACCATAATGTGAATAGAATTTTTGATGGTAGAGCAAGACACTAGTTTTTCAAACTCAAATTGGCTTGTTTGCCATCCTATGAACTAATAGGGATTGTATCCTCCAAGTATTCAAATGCTTAGTACAAGTTCTTCAGTACAAGAATTTTTTGCAGTTGAATAGTTCTAAATTTGTGCATTCGAATACTCCCATCTTTAATTGGAATCACTTATCACTTTAGTTGGATTAAACCTAGTAATAAAAATGTTCATGTATATAATAGAGATTTCATATCTTGTGTACTTTTTATATTTAAAAAAAATAAAAGAAAATAATACTAAAACCTATTTAAAACAGAAACCTTCCAAAGTGGGAAAAAATATTCATTATTGTGTGATTCCAGTTTAAACAGGTTTTACTGTACTTATCAATTACTTATAGATTTAGCAATGCATAGTTAAATTTTATACTAGCAATTATAATTAATTTACTACTACTAATCATATTTTAAATTTTAATAAATTTAAATCTAATTAAAGTTAAATTCTGTTTCTTGTAGGATTGAAGGCCCAGATACTGCTGGAAAAGAGAAATCAATAATATCAGAAGATTGTGAACTTGTAACTTTAATGTCTGCAATTAAAGGAAAATTTGAAGTGACTACTACAAATATTTATTTCTTTGATTTATCACCAGTAAAAGAAGAAGGTTGGTTAAATTAATACAATCATGTAAAAGTAATGTATCAACTCTTAGAATAGCTTTTTGATTTAATTAATATTAAAATATTGAAGTTTTCATAAATTTCATTATTTACAATGACATTCTTTTTACTATAACAAAAGAATTTTAAAAACTCTATATTAGTTTACTTTACTTAAAATATGTTAATTAAAAATTTAAAAAATTATCTTCCAATGTTATTTTTTTGATGTGCTTGATTTATGTACTTTCTATATCAATCTGTGAGCAACAGTTTCTTTTGAGTTCAAAGAGTAAACCTCACAAATTTTAATCAGTATTGCTGAATCATGGATGCAGTATACATGAGAATTCAAATATTTCCTAGACATATGCAATGTAACAAATGATTCAAGCATTGTTTCTTTAAATTGCATTATTTTTAATTACTTTCAAATGGTTTTACTTTTGTGTCTATAATAATCTATAATCATTTTGAAAATACAGTAATGTGAAGTACAGTATTGTAGCAATTATTGGAAAATAAAACAAATACTTAATTCATAAATAAAACATTTCCATGTTTATTATCATAATGTAAAAATTGTAGATAATTATTTTTGACTTTAATGAAAATGAATTTAACATATTAATAGATGTTTATAATTCAATTAGGTTTTAATTAATACAGTATATTTAACAAATGTTTATGAAATTACACTTCAATAAACTACAGTGGGTGATCAGTTAACGAACAGTTCGGACTATGAATAGATTGGATAACGAACACTTTCACGAAAGATTTTTATGTTCAGATAACGAACACCTCACAGAACAAATACAAGAAGAAGCAATGTAAAATAATGAATACCAATTGGTCTTCCCTTGTCTTCAGGAAACAATTCGAAACTTTTCGGAGCATGGGAGATGTCGACATCGACGCTCCTCCCAGTATATACTGATCGGATAGTATTCCTCCAAACAGGATGCAGAAATAGAAAGAATCATGCAGGTAGCAGAAGCATTGGACTACAAGAGAAATGTCATAAAGGGGATTATCAATAAATTAGAAGTTGGTACAGATGTAGTATCTGGTTGAGGTTTATCTACATACACAAAATTTACGTACAACAAGTGCTTAGGAAGTATTATGAAAGAAATCGCAAATAAAAAAGATACAAGGATGGTCTTAAAAAGAGCTCCGAATTTGTACAGAATACTTATAAATGATAAATGGGTGGTTAAAAAAGAAGATATGTCGGGTGTATATAAGATCCCATATGAGAATCAGATGTTAGGAATAAATAAAGAATATGTTGGGGTTACTACTAGAAACCTAGGTGTAAGGATAAAACAGCACAGATATGATATTAGAAAAGGTTCTAATAATACCACAATAGTACGATGGAATGAAGCGGATATCCTGAAACATATTCACTCCCCAACTTTGGCAAGAACGGCTGAAAAATTAGAAATTTATAGAAGCAAACTTAAAGGGAATTGCATCAACGCAAGAGATGTAGAGGGACTTCCTTCCGCATGGACGTTTGCAATTAAAAACTTTAAATAAGAGCAGGAACTTTAATAATATTTGTAGTAAAAACTCTGTATAGTTAAGTAGAGAAACTCTGTATAATTTAATAAGCAATATTAATACTTAGTATTAATGGTTTGTCTATTAAGTTAGAGGTATTAATATTTTGTATTCACAATTTGTTTGTTATATTTGACCATTTTATTTTATGTTTAGTATTAGCAGCATTTGTATTAATTTTATTATTTAAAAACATTATTTGGCTATTAATAGCATATATGTTATCAGTTATTAATATTTATATTTTGTATTTTGAACTTGTTATTCTATTTTTTGAAGTGTTCTAATTAACCTAATGATGATCTGTTGATTGGATTGAAAATGTTTGTTTTAAGAATAAATCTCTCAGTGAGTGATCAGGTGTTGATTAAGTTATTATTTTCTGCTGAGTATGCTTTGGGTTGTTTATTCCTCCAAACTTTGAAACTCTCTCTTGTAATTCCAACCTTTTATTTTTCTGACAGAAACAATTTTTTTATAGTATTTGTGAGACTGTTGGGTGGGCACTCGTTAAGTTTTGTGTCAGTTTTTATTTTTGAAAGGTGAGAGTATAATAGCAAAGGTAGAGAGTGGGCAGAAGATGTCTGATGTTGCTGGGCACTATGGATTGAACAGGTCTACAGTAGGCTGCAGTTCAATCTTATCTAAGAAAGATACAGTATAATCAAGAAGACTCATGCAGCTAAAGGAGTAACAAAAATCACATCTGAGAAATAAAAAAACATTGAAGAGCTCATAATGGAACCTGAAACGGATCTGACGACAGAAGAATGAGAACTCTTGAATGAAGAACACCAAGAAATTCAGCAAGATATGTTTTCTTCTGAAAAAGAGGATTAATGATGATATCTGCTATTAAAGATCTATTGAAGAAGTGGGAGAATGTCAGAACAACGTGTTAGAACGGCATCCAAACCAGGTTGAGGTTAATAGGCTTGGGGATCTCTACAATTACAATGCTTAATAATAATATAATTACAACTTTTAACAAAGATAAAACTTTGCTTTAGTCCTTCTTTCTGTTGTTTCCACCATTTGCAGTTCATAAAATCACAAAACTCATTTTTTATTTCACAAATCACAAAACTTAATTTTATTTAAAATGTATTATTGTGATTGTGTTAGGACACCAGATGACACTTTTATCATACTTTACATTTTTTTACTACGGAGGCAGTAGCCTAAAAGGAAAGGTTATCTCTGTGAGTTTTATGATTTTATGAACTGCGGATGGTGCAAACAATGGAAAGAAGGACTGAAGCAAAGTTTTATCTTTGTTAAAAGTTGTAATTATATTTATTATATTATTATTAAACATATATTACCGTTGAACATGTTAAATTAATTTTTAATTTTATTTAAAATTACAATGCTATTAATTACTTCTGAAAAATCATGAAGAGAGAAAAGCAATCGACATTAGACAGATTCTTTAATCCCCACAAACAGAAAAAATGTGAATAATAAAAATGCAAGGCTGTGTATATATATATTTTTATTATTACATATAAAGAAACATAGTAAGAAAGTATATATATATTTTTTTATTTTTTGGAGTCTCCAGAACGAATTAATCAAATTCCCACAAAAATCTATGGTAAATCAATAATCAGTTAAATTCGGATAGCGAACAAAGTCTTGAAACGGATTATGTTCATTAACCGATCACCCAATGTATATTGTTTTAATGTAATGGACTTCTTAATATTTAATTCATAATTTTTATGATAATAAAAAATTACTATGAATTTATTACATAAATTGTATTAATAATCTCTATAATAATGAATAACATAAAATAGAAAATTGGTTATATTTAATTTTTTTTCAAAACTATTGTATTATTATATTAAATTTAATAATTTATGTAAATGAATAAATTTAAAATGAAACTTTTAAATGTTTTTCATTGTTATTTTATTTAGTAGATCAAACAGAGAGACATGATTTTAAATGTTCCTTGGCACATTTGAGAGAAATACATTTAAGAAGATATAATTTACGAAGATCAGCATTAGAATTTTTTTTAATTGACCAGACAAATTTTTTTCTGAATTTTAATGCTTCTGTAAGTATTTATAAAATAATTGGCAACAAAAATTTGAATTTATATTTTAATTAATGATTAACTATAAGTAATTTTAATACTGTGACTATTTCAATATAAAAAAGTCACATATGAATATCTCTGATACTTTCATATAGTTATCAATTATGCATTAATAGTGATAAAATATCAATTATGAAGTGTAACTGGCATAAATAAATAAATTTTTATTTAAAATTTATACTATTTATTGAACAGAGGTGCATTTACAAAAGTTATTTTATTAATTCTAGATCAATAATGAAGTAGAAAATAATTATAAAATTTTTATCTTATTGTTCATTACATAAAAATAAGACCTAATAAAATAAGATATGCAAAATAATTTTTGTGCTTCACTTAATTAAAGTAGCATGTGTGCAATTAGATCATTTGTATTTAAGCAAAAATTAAGTGAAGAAAATTAGTTAACGAGTTTTGTTAGTTATGCTATTGATAGGAAAAGTTATTATCATTTACTGAAAAATCTGAAAACTTTGAAGTTTTGACACTTGTGCTGTTTTTGTCATAATGTCATTGACAAATTTTTTGATTACTTATTTTATGATCGTAATAGGATTGTAAAATAAATAACCTAAAAATATTTATCTTTAAGACAAATTGTTTTAATTTGTCGACAAATTAAAACAAATTTAGAAAAGATGATAATTTTCAGATTTCTTTAAGAACTTAAAATTTTACTGCATTTTAGTTGACAATAATCTGAAAAATATCATCATTTTTAAAACAGTTAAAACAATCTACCATACACTGTAGGTAAATAAGAGATTAAATATAATTTTTAATTTGCATTCTTTGCATTTCAATTAATATAAAAGAAATTATACAGGTAACTAAGGCACCCAAATAGCTCCAGATATCTTCATTAATTAAAAAAGTCATGATACTGAAGTATTTGTATGGAAAAGTGACCATGTGATGTCAGATGAGACCAACAGCACCCCTAATGGTAAAATTTAGAAGTTAGTATTTCTATCTTGGAAACTATGAGAGATACAGAAAAAAGTAAATGAGAAAGTTGCAGAACATCATTGAAATAGTAGAAAATGACATTTCATAGAAATGGATAATGCAAATAGGTTGGGCTGCACTTGCATACGTAGTTATTAAGTTGAACCCGTTGAAGATGAACTGCAATCACAGCATTCAAGCTGGAGTTAGTCAGAACTTCCATTTTTTTCAGAGCCACATATTTAAAAAATTCTTGTCTTTAGCTCCAAATTTGTTTTCTTTGTTTTTTAACTTTGCTTAGGTATTAGTTTCTACAGCTATTCACTAGAAAGTTTTGAGCTTTTCACTTCCAAATACAGGTCAACAATCTCTTATGCAAAATCCTTGATGCCAGACACTTTTCAGAATTTGGAATTTTTTGGATTTTGGAATGGCAGTACTGTATTCACATACTATATACTGGCATTTATGAAAGTAAGGATTCCCTAGAGTATCACTAATTAGCAAAATGACCACCACAGGGTATTCAAGCCTTTGTGTTTTGGTAACAAACCATTTTTGTCATTTTTGTTTCTAGATCATTTCTTATGAAAAATAACACACTCCTATAAGACTTGAATTAAAAATAATACATACTTGTGTTTCCTTGTCAGTTATAAAGTTGGTATCACTGATAATGCTAGTTAAATCTGAAATTCATGAATTGACAAACAGTATTTTATCCCATCACTGTACTAGAAGTACTTAAATTGACTACACAGTTTTTAATGACCTTTTCGTGACATAGTCAAGATCTTTGTTTTTTGACTTATACAATGTTTTTCTATTTTTCATTACTTTCTGGTCATTGCTGTCACTGTAAAACTTCAACAGCTTATCTTTCTATTTCTTTAAGTCATATATGATTATAGTTCTCACACCACAATATTTATTAAGATACCACACAGATACATCATGATCAAGCATCTGCAATAACTCTATTTTATGTGCTATCAATACATTAGAGCATCGTTTATCCGAAAGCCAGTTATTTGAAACGTCAGTTAACCAAAAGCATTCCAATCTGCAAATTTAAATTTTTGCTAGTGCTGTAGCGCTGCAATCTTTGGCTATATCTTGGGCTACTCCAATATTTTTTTGTTGGTGTGTGTGTTTTAGCTGGCAGCACTGGCACTTTTGTGTGGTGTTTTTCTGAGGACTATGTGTCATGCTGAATTGAACGTTTTTGATACTAGATTAACTTCTAAAATATAATTTTTTTTTTTGTTTTTATATTTTTCAATATATTTATTTTGTTTGTAAAAAATAAAGAAATAATTTTTAAAGATACAATAGCCACGATTAGTATTTTAAAAAGTTTACGTTAGGCTTAACATCAACAAAAATTCAACGTGAAGTGACACGCAACATGGAGAAAAATTTTAACATGGGATAGGTTAATATATTTTTTCATACATAATCGGTTATTCGAACAACCTCAGTCCCCAATTGATTCGGATAAACGACGCTCTACTGTAATGACAGATACTTCTTTCTTTTCTACTTCTCACTGGGAAATCTGCAGCTCTTTTTGACATTTTCAATGTCTTCTAAGTTGAAAAATAACCTAAACATAAACAAAATATCTGTGATCAGCAGAGACATGCCTGACTTGTAAACCTCGCTCCATGAGAAAACTTTTGGTTTTCAGAATTTTGGATAAGAGATTGATGACCTGTATTATAGAACTTTTGGTTATATTTCACAAAATTTTTAAAATAACTTGTATTTCTGACACATTACTTGTGACATATTCTTGGCATATCCTGTTTATTTTTTCAGAATTAAAAAAATTAATTTATCTGTATATATAAAAATGAATGTATGTCTGTCTGTCCTTCATGCATTACTACACCATTTATTTATCCGATTGCCATGAAACTTTGGGAAGTTGTTTAATATACTCCCGCAAAGGTTTGTGGCATAGTAAGTACATTTATCCTACTATAGATGGTGAGCGTAGAAATGAGCATTTCATCGTGAGAATTTCAGCATGGTTAGGAGTTGAAACTTGAAATTTGGTACACAGTTAGGGTGCATTACGAGAACACACACTAACAAGGGATTTTTTGAAATCCCCCTACAGGAAAAGGGACAGGATTAAGGCTTCAACAATGGAAGTGTTAAGAGAAAGCAACGTGCAAGATTTACAGGTGCAGATGCGGTTTTTTGTGTTAAATCGAACATAATTTTAGACCCATCTAAAAATTTTCTAATTAGTCTGGAAACAGGGGAACCTAATTCTTGCATTCTATGAAAACGGGTAAGATTGGCTGTAATGTAATAATCTTGATCTTCGCTATCATTACTTTTTGCCCAAGCAACGCCAGGCTTATCTGTTAGTATCAAATAATATAGACAATACCATGGTATCTTGACTTATGAATGTTCCAACTAATGAGTTTTTTGAGATATGAGCCATCTCCAACCAGTATTTTGCTTTGAGTTGAGAGCTAAAATTTCAGTTATGAGCCAGCTTCAGCTACCCCATGCAGCAAATGCCACAGCAAACCATAGATTAAGAAAAAGAAGATTGAAAACTGCCATACGGTATGTGGTGTACTAATATTTGAGGCAGTGCCACTAATGTCAAGGGAAAGAAGCATGCAAGACAATATTGTGGAAATTTTTCCATTTTCAACTATTTGTCATTTTCGTTACTCTTTCAATGGCTGACAGGCTAGCTCAGGCATGGCCAACATACGGCCCATCTAATGAATTCATGTGGCCCGCGATCAATCTTTCAATATTAGCTACTCAAGTTCGAATAGTTCAATGAAAAATTCTGACACCAAAAAAAAAAAAAAGAAGGAAAAAAGGTCAACAATTCACTGTGCGTTTAGAGTTAACCCTCCATTGCAAATCTCGTGAGTATAGCATAGAATGTTGATAAAGCATGATAATGTGAAAAATGTATCTGTAATCTCTATGTACAATTTAGTCTCTATGGGGTGACATCACAATGAGATCTCGCACCACCTCAAAATCTTCCTATGGCAGCCTCTGGTTTGGTTCATGAAAAAAGTTTTTTTTTCAAATTTGGCCTGGGGCAAAAACTGTTGGCCACCCCTGGGCTAGCTTATAGAAAAATGTGATCAAGTGACATAGGCATTTGTTCACTTCTATGTTATGTGTGGCACCACTGTCTCTCATTTCTTGGTTTTCCATCTTTCCTTTCTTAATCTATGCAGCAAATGCTGCAACATTTGCAAAACTTTTGCAAAACTTCATTTTCCAACCATGGGTCTAAAGAAACTGAGTGTGAAAGACAGTACTGAGAAGAAGTGGGTGATGTACATTGAATTAAAGAAAGAAATTATCGCAAAACATGACCAAGGTGTGGGTATAGTCAACTTGATGATGCAGTACAAGTGTAGCACTTTTATGATCTGCACCATACTGAAGCAGGAGTCAATAAAGGCTATAATGCCAGCCAAGGGCGTTAAAATAATTTCTGAACAGTGGACATCTATCCATGAAAATATGGAGAAGCTGCTGATGGTGTGGTTGATGGCGGAGCAGCTTGCAGGAGATACCATGATGGAGTCTATAATCTGTGAGAAGCACGAGCTATTTATGCTGATTTGCTGCAGCAGACCCCAGGCACTTCAACAAATGAGGCATTGGGAAAGCTGTTTAAAGCCAGTTGGAGCTGATTTGAGAATTTTAAAAAGAAGACTGGTATTCACTCTGTTGTCAGGCATGGTGAGGCAGCAAGCGTGGATATGAAGGCGGCTGAGGATTACTTCAAACCTTTTGCCAGAATTATAGCAGCTGAAGGATACATCCCCCACCAAGTCTTCAACTGTGAAGGGACAGGACTCTTCTGGAAGAAGATGCCAAGGAGGACTTATATAACGGTAGAGGAGAAGAGGATTCCAGACCACAAACCCATGAAGGATAGGCTAACTTTCATATTGTATTCCAATGTGATCAGTGACTGATTAAGCCACTGCTCATTTATCATTCAGAAAACACCTTAGAGCCTTTATTTCTCATAAGATTCTGAAAGAAAAGCTGCAGGTTATGTGGAAGGTAAATCCAAGGATGTGGGTCACCAGGTAGTTCTTTGTTGAATGGGTGAATTGATCTTTGGTCTTGACGTTAAAAAGTATCATCCAGAAAAATAACCTACTCAATCAAGCTCTTCTTGTCCTGAACAATGCACTTGCTCACCCACCTAACCTCAAAGATGATATCCTCGAAGAGTTCGAGTTTATAAAGGTTTACTACCTTCCACCCAGCATTATCCCTATCCTGCAGCCCATGGACTGGCAGGTGATTTCTAATTTCAAGAAGCTCTTCACCATGCAAGCTGTTTTGCTGCTGCTTTGAGGTGATGGAGAGCACAAACCTCACCCTTTCAGAGTTCTGGAAGGACCACTATAACATTGTGATATGCCTCAGAATTATTGATATGGTTTTGCAGGGTGTTACAAAGAGCATGGAACCTCTTGACCTCTGCATAGGAGAAGCTGTGGCCTGAGGTTGTGTCTGAAATGGACTTTGAAAGACTTGAACCCAAAGCAGCAGTGGTGGAGCAGATTGTCACCCTTGGCAAGTTCATGGACCTGGACATGGATGAAGGTGTCATCAACAAGCTCATTGAGGAGCACTCTGAAGAACTGACAATGGATGAGCTAAAGGAGTTACAGATACTGCAGCACACTGAGGTTTTGCAAGAAATAGGTAAAGCGGAGGAGATTATCTCTGCAAGTGAGATAAAGGAAATGTTGGGAATGTGGGAGAAACTTTCAGACTTTATTTAAAAGAAACACCCAGAAAAAGTTGCAATTGGGCATGTGATGGTGCTATTTAATGACACTTACCTAACTCCTTTTGGAAACATTCTGAAAGGGGGGATGAAACAGACTTCATTGGACAGGTTTTTATTGAAAATCCCTGTGGATGAAAGTGAGGAAAGCTTGGCAAAAAGGGCAAAAATCAGTAAATAAGATTCAGTTTAGTTCAGCCTTTCTCCTTCACCTCCATCAGCATCTCAAAGTCATTTGACATCCAAGGTAAATGCTGTACATTATATTTAATAAAACCAGTTTATTGCAGTACATTCTTCTGTGTTTTTATACAATAATCATTGTTTATAAATACATTTTTCTTATTTAAAAAACATGTAACAAAAAAATTGCCGTATTTGGTGGGTCCAAAATGCATTTGAATTCATTTCAATGGAGAAAATTGATTTGATGTATGAGTAATTTGAGTTATGAGCTCTGTCACGGAACGAATTAAACCCGTAAGTCAAGGCACCACTGTATTTTAGTAGATTTTAAATAATAACTAAAATGTTACAATGTGAATTTTATTTTAATTTTATATATTGTTTTAATCTTTCTAATATAATCTGGTAATTAACCTATTTGATGTTGAAATTTTTATTTGTTGCCTGTGACGCCATGTTGAATTTTCATCGATGTTAAGCCTAAAATTTTTTTTTTTAATAATAATTGTGTTTACTGTATCATAAAAAATTATTTTTTTATGTTTCACAAGCAAAATATATATATTGAATATTAAAAAGTTCGTTTTAATATAAAAATTGTGATGCAAAGTGACATCTAGTATCAGAAACATTCCAATGTAAACACGGAAATATTCGGGATCGCCCACGCAGGTCAATGAGGTCAACCCAAAAATTTTCGGGATCAACATAGGACAGGTTAAAAACAAACTGAACCACTTTTCATTCAGCTGCAGGCATGATAATAATAAATAATTGGCAAATAGTAGTTATTAGTTAATTGTTTATTGTTATCTTATTCTCTTTTCTATGATTTCCTCCCCTTTAATTATAATTTTTATCTGAGAATAATGCTAAAATCACATATTGCTATAAATGATCAAAAGATCTATTTCTATTGTATGTTTCATTTGCTTTATATAAATTGCATATAGATTATACATAAATAAACAAAATAAAATGGTTTGAATAATGTGTACTCTTATTTCAAACATTTGTATACTTAAAAATTAAATGTTTAGCTGGAGTCAGAAAAATCATCTGGAGCAGAGCTAGAACCATTTCCTGCTTCAAAGCCTTGTTGCAATATTACCAGTCTCTCTTAGCCATCAAACAAATAAACAAATGGTCCATGCAGTTGGATGTGGGGCAGTAGAAATCTTATGGCATAGTGCTATGCATTTCGCTAGCATTTCATTTACATTCATCATATAGTAGTAACACCTTGCAATAAATTTTCATTTGTACAGCCATTGTTTGTTGTGGTCTTTTGTTCAAAGGACTATTTAATGATTGATGAGTGTTTACACATTGCCAATTTGAGTTATTATTTGCAGCTGTGGTGTCTTGTCACACCTATCTTAAGACTAACTGTACTTTTCATATGCAAATGATGGTATGGTGTGTAGAGTTCAAGCCTTCTATTTGCACACACTGTTTCTATGAAATGTCATTTCCTACTAATTAAATGATGCTCTACAACTTTCTCATTTACCATTTTTCTATATCTCTCATAATTTGAGATACAAATGATAACTTTCAAAACTTACTATTAGGAATCCTGCCATCAGTGTCATCTAGCACATGGTCAGTTTACTATACCAATACCTTACTTTTATAGCTTTAGATTCTTCATTCAAAAGTTATTTGAGTGACTTACTACTTTATTGTGAACCTTGTATATGAAGAATATATAATTTTTATTCCATTATTTTGGAGATTCTGTTAATGTTAAATTTTCATTCTGTTCAGACGTTCTCTTGTAGATTTGTTTTTTATTATCTGTGTTTATCTTTAACTTTGTTATAAATATAGTTATAGTTATGTTAATGTAAAATAAACATTTAAACTCATATAATCTATGAATTAATATTAAGATTTTGTCTCTGCATTTTTATAATTTAATTTCTCTGTAATAAATATCTAAAAAATGTCTCATTCATTCATGAATAAAATTATTAATTTATTAATAATAATAATTAATAAAACTTTATTATATTATTAATGTATTTTTTAGAAAAGAAACAAAATATATGGCCGCATTGTAGGTTTACGACCTCCTAATTTAATTTATTCATATGGAATTCGAACACCAGCAGAATTACTGAAGTCATCAGGATGGATGCAAAAGTGGGTACAACGAGAAATAAGTAATTTTGAATACTTAATGCATTTAAATACAATTGCTGGGAGAACCTACAATGATTTAAGTCAATATCCCGTAGTAAGTATACTTTGATTTTTATGTTTTAAAATAAATTAATAAATGTATAAGAATAAAAAGCTAAGTATTTTTCAAGAATTCCAATTGTTCTCTATTAAAGAAATTTTAAAACTAAATTAGTTTTTATTAAGAAAATTTCATTTAACTTGAAATATAGTTTACAATTAGTTCATTTATTTATTTCTATATAGCATAAGAAAACATTAGTTCTGATTTTTATATGTTATCAATTTTTAGTATAAATATATAATTTTAAATAATTATTATAATAGAAGGTCTGTATTTGTGGGAATTATGTTCTGCAAAACTATTGTGAATATGGGAAGAAGAAAAATATTGAAGAAAGAAAGTTAGAGATTGAAAAAATGAATAATACTAGAATAAAGTTACATTTTCACACAAATAAATTTTTTATTTATTTTATCTCAAACTAAAGATAAAATTAGTAGAAAGATAAATACATGCAAATTATATTTTTTTAAAATATTAGGAACTGTTGTATGAATTCAGTTCAATTCATACAACAGTTTGTACAAGAATTCTAATAAAATGTCACACACTCTTTGATTTCTTTCTTAAATTTTAGGCTCTTCACTTGTAATCATTACATAATGCAAAACATTTCTTTTTCTTTAATTTGAAATTATCCTTCAGATGTATTGAATGACTTTAAACGTAACTGGTCTTAGCTATTACTTGTAAATACAAACAGATATGTTTTTAAGATAATCATTAAAAATTGTCTCTTTATTCATTACAGTAGAGCATTGATTATTCGACCCCCAATTAACCATTACATCAGTTAACCGACTGTTCTAGTCTGCAAATTTCAAATGTCCGCTAGTGATGTGGCATTACAATATTTAGCTATATCTTGGCTACTTTAATATTATTTTTGTTAAATTTTTGCGTGCTTTAGCTGGCATCAACAGCTCGACCATTGAAGGGAGGCCAATATTTAAACGAGACTTAATTTTCTAATTATGAGTGGTTGTTTGTTTTGTGAGCAATAAAATAATTTTAAAATAATTTTTAACGATACAATAGCTATGATTATTATTTTAAAAAAATTTGTTAGGCTAAACATCAATGAAAATTCAATGCAAAGTTGGTTAATAGCGATATACTAATATACTAATCACATGGGATATCCTAATATACTATACTAATAATGTATTTTTTCCTTCTTTTCGGATATCCGATTTTTTCAGTTATTCAACCAACCTGAGTCACCAATTGAGTCGGATAATCGATGCTCTACTGTATTTCATTATTTTTCTTAATCTTTTCACATATAAGTGAGTTTTAGCTTCAGAATAAGAAAAATGGTAAAAAATATTTGAATATGGAGCTTCTGTTGCATAACAATATATAAATCAGTGTCTGTATGATTTCTTTAATCATACCACTCACTATTTTGATACTTATATTTACATACATTTGACAATGTTTATATTTACATACATTAGTGTAAATCTTCACTAATGAGATGAAACTTGATTGAATCTACTGTTTTAAGTAACTTGATGTTGTGAGAATCTGGATTCCAACAATTGGTAAAATGATAGAAATTTTAAGAATGACATAATTGAAGAAAAATGTTGAGTCATAACATAATAAAATTTTAATTCACTGATGAATTTTTACAAGGCATCATTGAATTTTTGCAACTCAGGTTTGCAGAGACAATCAACTCTCACCAGGTCCCAAACAACTCAAAGTATTGGTATGTCACCTAGCTATACATTATCTAGAGTTCAATCCTTGAAGCCTAATCAATGAATTAAAAAAAAAAGGAGTGGGAAAGGGTTTAAAACAAATTGAAGTCAGAATATGTTATATTGAATTACTTGAAAATCACATCTGCAACATTTTTTACTGTGTGTAGTGTAAGAATGAACTTGTAAGAACTATTGAGTAATATTTAAAAGGAACTATTGATAGATAAATAACATCAAGGTCTCATCCCACAGGACACCTATTATGAATGTAAAAAAAATTTTTTTTTTGCTAGATGATATTTTTATGCAGCTGTAAATTTTTATAGGTATGTGTGATATATGCTATGCTAATATGCAAAATGGAATATGTTGCACAGATCTTCCTTGACATACTGCATTCAGCATATTTGATAAATACACATCAAAACTCAATAAAAATAAAATTAAAACATTTCTTCAGTAGGATGACTACACAATCTGATTTGGAATTCTGAAAATATAAAAAAATATGAACATAAATTCTTTTTGTACTGTTTAGTTTAAATTATTATTAATTTATAAAAGCTAACTTTTTCTATTAGTCTCTGTGAAACTAACTTTAAAATATTGTAGATATTGTGAGGAATGAACTTGTTTTTCTTTTTAACAACATTAAATGGTTAGTCTTATCAGTTGCATACAGTAAGTTTTTGATCTAGAGTATTAATGAATTAATGTTGTTATTTTTTAATTTAATTATTAATGTATATGTTTAGTTTCCTTGGATTCTTGCGGATTACACATCTTCAGAACTGGATCTTGATAATCCAGCTGTTTATAGAGATTTAAGCAAGCCCATTGGAGTTGTGAATCCAAAAAATATAACAGAAGTTAAAACAAAGTAAGTAAAACTGTTTTTAAGATTATATAAATTTTATCATATAGCAATTAAATTAATTTAATAGACAATGAATACAGTTGTCCCTTGATAATCCGACAGGTATGGGACCAAAGGTGTGTCAGATTACCAAAAGTGTCCGGATTACCGAAAATAATTACATATTTCGCATTGTTTTGCTAGTAGTAACTTACAATATTCTCTACTCCAACTGTTCGAACAGAACTGCTCACATAAAACACACGAAATGTGTGTCATCGTGTAAAAATTGGATGGGGAGATTCACATTGCAACATGCTTCTGTGCAAGCAGACACGTAACAAGGACGGGTACCTTGACGGGAGGTGCGTCGGACTACTGAGCATGTCGGATTAAAAAACGTCAGACTATAGAGGGACAACTGTATTTTTATAATTTTGATTAATAAATCTAATCAGAACTTTAACATTAATTTTAATTTTTATCTGAAGCAATAATTTGATGCTATTCCATTTGATCTATTGGAAATTAAATCTATTTCTCTTTTAATGGTTTGGAATTAGATTTTTCATACAGTCAAATCTGATTCACTGAAAATCTGACTACAGTCAAATACAGTTAATTTGAATTTTTTTAAATATATTTTTATTTTATTTTTGTTTTTAAATTTGACAAACAATCACTGAAATTTGGTCATATACTCTGTTATTTTTATTTTTATAATTTATATTTAATAATCAAAACAAAATAAATATTTCACTTTTACATTAGACTATTTATTTTGTTTATGGCATCTTTCTCATAGCTTTCAATTGTCCAGAAAGTTCACAAGGACAGTTGATATTTATCTTTCAAAAATTAACAAATATATATACAGTAGAACCTCAATTATCCAAACTAATTGGAGGTGGAAATAGTTCAGATTAGGAAAAATCTGGATAATTGAAAAAATAATAATTGATAGTGAAAGACATGTACTGTACATACAGTATGAATAGTTTTTATTTGTCTAGATTTACATATACTGTAGCTTCAATATTAAATTACTGTATTTTTTTATTAGGAAATTCAATTATTGTTTAACTTTAATTTTTTCACTTTGTTTTTTTATATCTGAGATCGTTGATGTTCCAACAACATGTTTATTAGCAAGGTTGAAACCAAATTTTAAATGTGAAAACATGTACATCAGACATTCAACGCCGCTTTCCTGTAAGCCTAGAAGTTTGACAACGGTGTTTGGATAGTCAGTGGAATCATGCTCGATATTCCAAATACCATTGTCAAACTTCTAGGCTTACAGGAAAGTGGCGCTGAACGTCTGACATACACGTTTTCGTGTTTAAAACTTCGGCATCAACCTTGCTATTATATAATGAACGTCCAGACTCACCACGTTTCAAAGCATTGATTATATCCAATTTGTCTTTAATGATAATACAACACAACATGTTTTCTTTTCAATGACATATCAGTAATATTAAAAATAAATACTGAAATTAAATTATGATCAACTTTTCAAGAAACAAACGTTCGTATTAAATTTGGACAACTACTGACCGGTACTAACAGTTATGCATTCCATCACGTACATAAACAGTGTCGCTATTTGCCGAATGCAAATCAGCAAATTCGTAAAATTTTTGTTTATTTTGAATAATCCGGATAATTGAGGTTCTACTGTATATACATTTTGTATGTATGTATATGTTTTAATAATTTTTTATTTTATGTAACTGGCATCTTTGTTTTTAAAATATATACAGTGGGTGATCAGTTAACGAACAGATCGGATAACGAACACTTTCGCGATGGATTTTTATGTTCAGACAACGAACACGTGATCAGATAACGAACACCCCACAGAACAAACACAAGAAGAAGCGACGTAAAATAATGAATACCGCTTGGTCTTCCCTTGTCTTCGGGCAACAATTTGAAACTTTTCAGAGTGTGGGAGACATTGACATCGACGCTCAAGTCAGTATATACCGATCGGATAGTATTCCTCTGAACTTTGAAATTCTCCCTTGTAATTCCAGCCTTTTATTTTTCTGACAAAACAATTCTTTCGTGTATTCACGAGACTGTTGGGTAGGCACTCATTAAGTTTTGCGTCTGTTTTTCTTTTCGAAAGGTGAGAGTATAATAGCAAAGGTAGAGAGTGAGCAGAAGATTCCTAATGTTGCTGGGCAATATGGCGTAACAGGTAAACAGGTCATCGAAGAGTTCATAATGTAACCTAAAACGGATCCGACGACGGAAGAATGCCAAGAACTCTCGAATGAAGAACACCAAGAAACTCGACGAGATACGTTTTCTTCCGAAAAAGAGGATTAATGCCAATATCTGTTATTAGAGATTATTTGTAGAAGTGGGAGGATGTCAGAACGACGGTCTTAGAATGGCATCCAAACCAGGTTGAGGCTTCGGGGTCTCTACAATTACAATGCTATTAATTACTTACGAAAAATCGTGAAGAAGAGAGAAAAGCGATCGACATTAGACAGATTCTTTTATGACTAATAAAAATGCAAGACTGTGTATATATGTATTTTTATTATTACATATAAATAAACATAGTAAGAAAGTATATTTTTTTTTATTTTGGGGGGTCTCCAGAACGAATTAATTAAATTCCCATTAAAACCTACGGTAAATCGATAATCGGTTAACGAACAATTCGGATAGCGAACAAAGTCTTGGAACGGATTATGTTCGTTAACCGATCACCCACTGTATATATTTTAAAAACAAAGATGCCAGTTACATAAAATAAAAAATTATTAAAATTATGTAAATTCTGAGAAATATGATAAGAAAAGAACCTATATGGAGTGAGCATATAAGATGAAGGTCATAGATTTTTTGGTGAGATATCTAAAAGCCAATCATAATAAATAGTCATTAAAAAATTTAATGACTAAAATAAAGTAAGCAATCAAAATATTTGAAATGCTCAAAAATGAAGGAAAACCTAATCTAATCCTAGCTAGATTTAAAATGGGAACCCAAAATTCAATATATTTTCATGTTTGAAAAAAATTTTTATGCAAGGCATAATTTGTTAAGGTATATAGACTATATGGTCAATTTTTCAAGAAATATGGGAAAAAGGTCAATATTCAAAAAAATTTGCAAGAGCTTTGCTGTATTTTGAAAGTCAGATAGCATGCACTTGTTTGTTTACATTTTTACGATGCAGAATTTTCCCATTTTATTGACTTAACATAAGGATGATTTTTGGCCCCAATATCTCCCTAAATTTTGACTTTTTTAGTAACTTCAATCACACAGGGATACATTAATTATTAATGTATCCTTGTGTGATTGAAGTTACTAAAAAGAAGCCAAAATTTAGGCTTAGTAAATTAAAAGAAACTAGTAACAGAAATGATCAACCAATATCTCCCATTCTAGATTGAATTTTAAAATTCAGTCCCCGACATGACAAGCCATTTTATTACTTGACTGATTTGAACAAAATTTTGCACATTAATACAAGTCATTACATTAAGTATAAAAAATGTTTCAGTGATTTGTCAATTTGAGTCACTGCCAAAGAAGCATTCTTGCTTTACTTGCTGTGCTTCAACAAAATAAAACGTACTTTTTGTATCAATTTCTGTAATGTTGTCTTTATCCTTTATTGTCAGAGATTATTTGTTATGCTAACTCCTCTTAAATTGATTCCCTTTAGTTATTTTATCACTGTTGCAAGCATGTGCCATATGCATATGCTTATGCAATGTTGGAAAGATCTCTTGTCCCTGGATAAGTGACCATCAATGACTTTTGTTTCTGTTTTTGTAAGTCTCTGTAAAATTCTTCATTTATCTTTTATATATATATATAAAAGATAAATATATAGATATAAAAAAAAAGATATATAGATATAAAAAAAAGATAAATGAAGAATTTTTCTAATTCAATTACATTATTCTTGTAAAATTTCATTCCTACATTCATTTCTTTGAAAAATTCAAGATGTTTTTTATTTTTACACGATATAGTAATTTAAATTTTTCATCCTATTATTACTTTTTATTGTAAACATATCAAGCAAATGCTATGCTTTCTTTACTCATTTTGATATAATTTACATATCCATTTATCTATATTTTTAATTATGCATTTTCTAAATCCTACATCTCAATTAATATGTTTTAATCTTGTTTTAATAAACATGTGAGAAAGAAAATTATTATAAATTCATAAAATCAGTTTTCAATCTATCATATAAAATATTTATTTTTATTTTGCTTTTCATAGACACAATGTNGACCGAAATGTAAGAATGAACGTTTTATTACCTGGTTGACATCATTCGTGCACATCACAAATCGTGTGTTCCTCGAGTCTACCAAAAAGTAGTTGATGGGGCGATAATGCAATGTATTGCTCTTAATTAATCATATAAAATATTTATTTTTATTTTGCTTTTCATAGACACAATGTAGTGACACTTTTCAAACACTAGGCAGATTATTCATCTTTTATTTGGGTTGGAACGCTAATTACAAGACACATTTTGGGCTCCAGCCCCTCCTCAGCCAACTAAACAATAAAATCAAACATGAGAAGAATGTACATATAAACACGCGAATGCACAAGAAACTATGCACTATGTAGATATATCACATTTAAAAGTTCAATATGCATCAATTACATATATAAAGACAGCATACGTAATCTCATTCCGTAGGTTGGGTAAAGAATGAACAGACCAACAGATTTTGACGAGTTTTTTTACCATTCGTCTAAATAAATCAAATTTGCAGAAAGGTATATTAACGTCTCTTATACTTGTAATTTGTATCTTGGCATATCACTTAAATTTACACAATGACTGTTGCTACTGTTACAGATAGGTCTCACACACGACCATCACAACGACACAGTCTGGTTTTCTAATTTGCATATATACCAACAAAACCAATTTAAAAGAATTTACAGTAATTGATAAAAAGTTGGATACCAACTGCAACAATGAAACTTAAAACTTGTTAATATATTAATATTAGTTAATAATATAATTTGATTTTTACAACCATTATGCAAACGTACGTGATCTTTAAACACGGATGATTAATATTACAATGGTATTTAATATTCACTAACATATTTATAACATTTTTATCCAATTTTCACTAATTTTAACACTTAAAAATAAGAATTGTATAAATAAAAATTTATTTTTAATGATTTCTACACTCTTTAAATTTTCTGTGATATGTCCTCTTTTCTTTATGTAAAATTTCTATATTAGATTTATCAATGTTGCAGTTATTTAATACATAATGATCATGGAACACAGAATTTAGTCAATGATACTTTAAATCAGATATATCTTCTTTGACCCATATTTTAAGCTTATGTTTTGTTTCATCTATATAAAAACTGCTATTTTTGCAGGTACATGGTATTTTATATACAATATTTTTCGTGTCATCCTTCATTATTTTTTGTTTTTTTGTACTTTGTTTAGCCTTTAATCTGGAAAATAAATTTTCATACTTTGGGACAAGTTTTATGTTATTTTTCCTCACCTTGATATCAATTTGTTCATACATATGTTTTATGTATGGAAAACCTAAATATGTTATTTTTACTTTTGTATTATCATTCTTTGTTTTAGTAATATTGTCTATTTTCTGTTGCCATTTATTAATCAGTATGATTGGGTACCCATCTAAAATAAATTTTTTCTTTAATTCATTTATATGTTTACATTTATTAATTTCTTTACTAGTTCTATTCTTTATTTTCTTATACTCCATATAAAAAACATTCTTTTTTATATATAAAGGTATATTAGAGTTATACTTTATTGTGGTATTAATCGAACAAGGTTTTTTGAAGAGTTCAAATTCTAATTCGTTTTCTTTTCTTGTTATTATAACTACTGTATACTGTTATCAACAGTATTTTCTTCTTTAATTTTAAATTGGGTTCCTTTATCTATGTAAAGAGAAAAATCTCTCGTTCAATTTGGAAAAACTTTATCTATGCATCGTGCTGTCATCGACATGAGAGGTAAGAAAAACAATATGGCGTAATCAATACATTATAGCGAAGCGGGAAAAGATAAATAATAAAAAGGAATTGATATAGTGAAGAATAAACTTTAAATGTCATTTCTTTGTTTACAGGTGAGAGTGTCAATTACATTTCAAAAGTGTTATTTTGGTAATGTAACTTTAAACTAATAAAATAAAAAACTTTGTTTACAGAGCAACACATCATGGTTTAATTCGTTTGTCGAATCATTCCTTTTCGAAGAATTTAAAACCTTATATCTATTATTTAAGATTTAATTTATTATTATTTATTATTTTTTCTATTTCCTTAATTTTAACTTCTGCATCATTGTATATAATTAAAACATCATCAACATATCTTTTATAATATTTTATACCTGGTATATTTTTAATTGCTTTGTCTATATCGATCATTATTATTTTGGCATGCTTTAGTCCGATAACTGAGTTCATACTGATTCCATCATCCTGTGTGTAATATTTCCCATCTATCTCAAAATAATTGCTTTTATAGGTAAACTCTAGTAATTCTGTGATATCAGGTTCTACTTCTATTTTCTTAAGATGATTCTCAATTAGTTCCCATTTTATCAATGGGTACATATCAGTCACATCTAGACTAGCCATTCTTGATGTGTTTTCTATTTCTACGTGCTTAAGATCGTATTTATTTTTATATTTCTTGTATTATTGAAATAGATTTTTAAAAAATATGCTAGTAGCACTTTCTAGTTAATAGTATTGAACAAACAATCACTGATAAGTACTATTCAATACTACCCTATCAGTATTAGTTCAATTTTATTTTCTGGTTGATTATTTTGCTTTCTTGTCTTAATTGTAATTTTTTTTTCTTCCCACTTTTTATCTCATCTATCACACAATATTTATATTTATATTTAGTAACTTTTTTTGTAAATTACTATTTATTTATTATTTGCTTTACTTACAGATATGAAAATTTTATTGATATAACTGGAACAGTAGAAAAATTTCATTATGGCACCCATTATTCTAATTCAGCTGGAGTGTTGCATTACCTAGTCAGAGTTGAACCATTTACTTCTTTGCATGTAGATCTTCAGAGTGGAAGGTATAAAATGAATTTTAGGATAAATTTTTATGTACTTGTGTTTATTTTTATAAATTATATCTTTAAAATTTTAATCACTTTCTTTGTGACCTTTTTATTGATATATAATGTAATTTTTGTACATTATAAAAATTAATAATTAGTTTACATACATATAATTAAGATTTATATTATATATATAAATTTTAATTATATGTATGTATAATTTATATTTGTATAATGTATATGTCTTAGCCAAATGCTGAAATTTGCTATTTCATGAAGTGCTAGCACATCCTGTAATAAATATTACAGTAGAACCTCTATTATCCGGATCTCCATTATCCGGATTTTCGATTATCCGGATATTCCAAAATAAACAAAAATTTTATGAATTTGCTGATTTGCACTTGGCGAATTACGACACTGTTTATGTACATGATGAAATGCATAACTTGTTTTGTTTCAACAACGTCTCACCCAGCACAGTGGTCGTAAACTCTTAAATATATTTTACGTCGTAATAAAAATATAACTTGACATACGTATTTATAAATAATTTATATTCAAATTACATCATTTCTATGACCAAGGGCGGAGTAAGGCATGGGCAACGTGGGCCACCGCCTATGCCTCACGGTCCGAAAGGCCTCGCGTTTCGAAGATTTATGCATTACTTAAAAGCCGCGAACGCGACGAAAAAATTTTACTCGTCATGAAACGATAAATAGTTTGTCAAATTTTCATTCATAAAAATGCAGTTTCGACTGCTTTTTATTTTATAAAATCCATCTTCTTGCGTCATCAGAGGGCCTTTTAAACAATAGGTAGTCTGTTAGCGTTGGTCAGTAGTAGTCCAAATTCAATACGAACGTTTGTTTCTTTAAAATCTGATCACGATTTAAATACAGTATTTACTTTTAATATTACCGATATGTCATCGAAAGGAAAACGTGTTGTATTATCATTAAAAGACAAATTAAAGTACTTGTTTCGATTATCCGGATTTTTCCTTATCCGGAGTACCTTCATCCCCAATTAGTCCGGATAATAGAGGTTCTACTGTACTTTCAGAATCTAGTTTTTCTAGCCACTTCTTGAAATGTTAACCTGCTGTCTGCAGATATTGAAATAGTTGTGTATTACATCATCTGTTTAATGAAACTAGGCATTTCATGTAACATCTAACAACATATATTACAATTATGTGCAAAATATTCAACTGTTTTGTTTTACACTATATGCTAACATAGTATAAAACAAAACAGTTGAATATTTTGCACTTCTGCATGTTATAAAATGCAAATTCCTTGTAATACAAGTCCTTGATGGCAGTTTTTACATATTTTAAGGAGTCTTTTTTTTTTTTTTTTTTTGCTTTTTCCACTCTCTAGGTTTCAACAAATTTAAATTTTGTTTTGTTTTTAAGAACATTATTTGTTTGGTTTTTTTATTTCAATTTAGATCATATACTTGTTTATTGCAGTCTCAGAACTACAGTGAGTACATAAGCACTAATGCATATAGAAAACTTTTCTGTGAAATAAAACTTCTCATGTATACTTAATATTAATTACAGACACATATCTACATAAGTGAAAACATAAAATAACTAATTTGGCAAATCTTAACTTGTGCATTTGGAAAATCTACTTTATATTTTATAACAGACTTTCAGCTTTAACATACAATAAAGTTTTACAATTATTAAATAATAAATTTTAAATGTAAAATATAAATTTTTTGCTATATTATTATGTTTAAAGTATATAATTATTTACTACAGTTATTTTTGCTATAATTGATGTATATTTATTTAAAACTTATAACTTTTTGAATGTAAATTATTTAATAAAAAATACAACATACAGAAATTAAAAAATATTCAGTTTTTATACTGTTTTTAGTATAAAACAGTCTTGTTTTATACTATGTGCTAATAGCCAAATGAAATACCTAGTTTCATTAGACAGATGCTGAAGTATGCACCCATTTCAACATTTGCAGAAAACAAGTAATTATTTCAAGAAGTGACCAGAAAAACTAGATAAATTTCAGCATATGGCTATGGCATACATACTATATGACTATACAGGGTGCATAGGAAAGTCCCTTTAACTGGAAAATTCTTGCAAACAGAGAGAGATACAGCTATGCAAGTGAGGTAACGGTATAGTAAAGCTACTACGCCTGACCTAATGCAAACAACAGCAGCGTCCCTAGTGGCGAAAATTGGAAGATAGACAGTGCAAAACAAAAACAGATAGAGCAAATTTTCCAATTAGAAAGTTTTAGAGCATCAATTAATTAGTATGAAATGACATGTGGTTTACATGAATAAGATAAATTGTCACCTGTATACCCAAAAATGTCCAAAAGCGATGCATGCCATTTTGTGTAAACGTTTGAAAGGAATAGCCATAGGTATGAAGAAATACACACAATTCATTGCATAAAATATGTGCTTACGTCAATACAGTTTGATAACAATGGCATGTATCATGAGCAATGACAAACTTTTCAAACATACACAACATTAACTTGTTATTACTGTGTGACAGTTTGCCTTTTCATTGTTTTTTGTGTGATGTTATCAAACTGTATTGATGTAAGTACATATTTTATTGCAATAAATTGTACTTCATACCTATGGCTATTCCTTTCAAACGTTTACACAAAATGGCATGCATCGCTTTTGGACATTTTTGGGTATACAGGTGACAATTTATCTTATCCATGTGAACCACATGTCGTTTCATACTAATTAATTGATGCTGTAAAACTTTCTAATTGGAAAATTTGCTCTATCTGTTTTCGTTTTCAATTTGCACTGTCTATCTTCCAATTTTCGCCACTAGGGACGCTGCTGTCTTTTGCATTAGGTTGGACGTAGTCACTTTACTATACCGTTACCTCACTTGCATAGCTGTAGCTCTCTTTGTTTGCAAGAATTTTCCGGTTAAAGGGACTTTCCTATGCACCCTGCATACATATTACAGTTACAAATTCCATTTATCATATAATAAGAAATGAACTATCGAGTTTATGAATTTCTAGATTTAACAAAAAACTAATAGTGATATAACATTTTGCTTTATGGTACTTATTCTATACATCATTTAAGCTTTAACTATAGATTTGCATCTTTAGTTTTTCAAATCCATCATTTATAAAATAAAAGTTTATATTTTAATGAAATTGAAATGAATATAAAGCTGAATAATTTTTGAAAATCTTTATATTAATGAAATATTTAATTTTTCAGATTTGATGTTGCAGACAGACAGTTCCATTCTTTAGAAGCAACTTGGAAAATGTTAATGGAAAATCCAAATGATGTGAAAGAATTAATACCTGAATTTTTCTATTTGCCAGAATTTCTTGTGAATATGAATGGTGCGTGATTAGCTACAGGTGAATTCATTTTAATTTGTTAAGAAATATACATAAAATATTTCAGAATATTCATTAATTTGAAGTGAATTTATTCTACTCTACTGAAAGACTGTTCTTAGCAAATTTTGTCAAACACCATTACTAAAATACAGTTTATTAAAAAGATCATACATTAATGTATTAAACATTTTATGAAGAACACATCAGGATGCAAAGTATTTTCAGGACTCAAAATTTCTTTGGAACAAACAATATTTTCCTGAAAATTATTGTGCACAACATAAAACAGTTTACAAATTACAGGAAATTCTCGTTAATTAGAACTCAGATAGTTTGAAATCTCATTAGTTCATAACTTTACTTTTTTCCCAGCCAGGGATATAGTGATTTACATGTTAAGTGAATTTGGTTAGTTCAAAATATGACTACTTTGTAATTTAAAGTGAAAATTATATCCAAACTGTGATAAGAGTATGTTAACTAGTTTGTTTAGATCAGGGATGTCCAATCCACAGGCCACACTGTGGCCCACTTAATATTTTTATGCGGCCCACTGCTCCCTAAGTTTTTAGGTTAATTTTTATTTATTTTGGTAAAGTATGTCGTAAAAATTATTCTCGTTTCACTTGATACACTTTATTATGGTAATGATGAAATTGGTGGCATAATTTGTAACTGACCAATCAAAAAAGTTAGTGGCATGATCTGTCATTTTGATTGTTTCAGTTTCAAAGATTTTTGCAATGAAGTGATGCTGTTAGTGATAAAGAAATGTGTGTCTTTCACCAGGAAAATGAAAAAGACATATAACTCTTCTGTTCAAAAAAGTGCCAATTTCAGTAACTCAAGTCTAAGCCTAATGTCAAAATGGAAGGGGCTAATTTATTCTTTATAGAAATAAAGAATAAATTAGCCCCTTCCACTTGAGCATTCTTTCTAATTACAGGTATATAATACAGGCATAGGTCTATCTATCTACAGTAGAGCGTCGATTATCCGAAAGTCAATCATCCGAAAGAATTCCAGTCGGCAAATTTAAATTTTCGCCAGTGCTGTGGCGCTGCAATCTTTGGCTATGTCTTGGGTTACTCAAACATTTTATGTTTTTGATACTAAATTAACTTCTGAAGTGTAATTTTTTATTGTTTTTATATTTTTAAATATATTTATTTTGTTTGTACAAAATAAAAAAATAATTTTTAATGATACAATAGTCTTTGTTAGGCTTAACATCGATGAAAATTCAATGCAAAGCGACACGCAACGGAGAAAAATTTCAACATGGGATAAATTAATATTTTTTTTCGTACATAATCGGTTATCCGAAACATCAATCTTCCGAACAACCCAGTCCCTAATTGATTCGGATAATTGACGCTCTACTGTATTTTCAACTTCCGATTATATTCATAATTATTTCATCAACTTGTAAATTTATATTTTTAATAGCCTAACATTTGGTCATGGCATCTGTTATTTTTCTTTTCTCAGTATTAGAAGAAAAAATTCAATATTTTTGGCCAGAAAATATTTAGTAATTGAAACATGCAATAATATTATCTGTCTTATTTTTAATGATAAAATTGTCATGAGAAATTGTCCATTTTCAGAATTTATGAAAAAGAAAAGAATTTCCTGTGAACTTTGAAAAATAGAGTAAATTATATGAAGTTTTTTTTAAAAAATTTAACAACCAGATTTTCTGATTTCAGAAAAATAGAAACTGAATTAAAATTGTATAATGATCTATTTTCATTTAATTATGTGGAAGCATGAGCTGAATACCAGCTAGAAGTGATTGAACTTCAAAGCAGGGAATCTTTGAAAACTTACCATAGAGAACATTACTTTCTTAAATTTTATATAGTAGTACATTTTTTTGATGAAATTGTCAATTTAGCTAGAAAACTGTTGTGCATGTCGGGTAGTACATATTGTTGGAAGCAATTCTTTTCGTGCATAAAAAACATCAAAATTGCTGAAAGAAATAGATTGAGTGATTCTCATTTAACTAATATTCTTACAATTAAAACTTGTATCATAAAAGCAGATATTCACAATATTATAAAAAGAAAGCAATGTAAAAAGTTGCATCAAATTTATTTTTATTTTGTGTGAATATAACTTCCTTTTTTAATGTCAATAATACAGTATTTTTTATAATATATATATCTATTATTAAAATTTGATATTCATATTTTGAACTTTTTAAAAGCATATATATATATAAAGTACCTTTGTGGCCCACTGAATATACCTAAAATTTTAATTTGGCCCATTAGGAAAAAAGGTTGGACAACCCTGGTTTAGATCAAAGTGCTTCCATACTATAAGAGAACAATGGACCAAGAACAACTCTAATGTGGTCAATAAGGCATTGCTTTTACAGTAACACGTTTTTGGGTGTTACCTTAGGATACAATTATGCAGATGTGTATGAGCAAATTTGTCAAGCATTGTGTGACCAAGTGAGAATGTGTGTCAAGAACAGGTGATGATGTTTCTCACTCTTGTTAAGTACAGTATAACTACACAGACATGAGCAAATGGGAGAAAGTGGTGTGAGATGATGATGACACATGTTTGTGTTGAACTCACCACAGAGAAGTGTGAATTATTGCACTATATGGAAGTAAAAATGAAAATAGTTCCACTACAACACTTACTACTAGGAAAGAAAAACTTTTGTTCTTAGGATTACTTCAAAATAAACACAAAAAAAAAACAAAAATATGTTCCTCTTCTGTGGAAACCAAGAAAGGATAAAGAATTTTATTATATTTTGTTAATAAAACAGAATTATATGACTTTATGTATATCTATAGTTTGAAAAAAAAATCTTTTTATATATATATGCAGTAGATGGAAGATATGAGAAACCATCTTCTGCTCATGCCAAGGTGTATGTCAGTATTCAATAAGAAGAGGCAAGACATGATAGATAGCATGTCTTGCCTTTTTAACGATACAATAGCTATGATTATTATTTTTAAAAAATTTGTTAGGCTAAACACCGATGAAAATTCAACGCAAAGTTGGTTAATAGCAATATACTAATATACTAATTACATGGGATATCCTAATATACTATACTAATAATGTATTTTTTTCATTATTTTCGATAATAGGGTTCTATTAGATATTTATGAGATCCAGAAATTCACTCTTCTAACACAATTTCTCACTTCTTGCTTGTGCATGATTTTTCTTTGTGAGAACTATATTGTTTGCAACCTCTCACTTGCTACTAGATTTGTATCTGATAGTTGCACTGTTACCCATGGACTACTCCTTTTTTCCTCTTTTCTCATAAAATACAGTTGGTTTTGGGCTAAAAGTAGCAGATTAACATATTTGTAGATTCTAGGTTATTACATTTGGGTGACTTACAACTTTTTGGGCCACATTAAAAATAATTTGGGCTACATTTTGAGGAATTCTTCTTTACTTTTTATAAAATCTATCTGGCAACTTGTGAAGTTCTCACTGGACATGTGCTACTTACTTGCAGTTTATTTATTATTATTATGTTGTGAATGTCATGCTCAACTGATACTGATGCCAAGTGTTAAACCAGACTAAAGTCAAAGCATAGCTACCCAAACAAGTGTAACATTAAGCTGTGTTATTGGTATGTGTGTCAACATCTAGAAACTTCCTAACAATGTGACATGTGTTCAATATTTCAGCTTTCTGTAGTGCCATGTTTGTGTTTTTATTAAGGTTTTATTGTTATTATTATTATTATTATTATTAATTATTAAGTAACAAAAATAGCATTCTGTACGTGTGTACATATAGCTGTATTCCATATCCTTAATAAAATACATCAATTACATGGCATTTGACATAATGTAGAGAAATATGTAAATTTCAGATAATTTGAAGTCGTGATTATTTTGTTCCTTGAATTTTGAACTAACAAGGATTTCCTGTATTACTGCATAGTTTGGAAAGTTCAAATTAAATCATACAAATAATTCAAAGGCTATTATATAATTTGCCATGCAACACTAAACCAATAAATTAACATAAACATTTTTTAATTAAAAGAATGCTTTAATTTAAGCATGTGTCATCATCATCATCATCATAGTATACAGTAAAACCTGTCTATGGCGACCACCCACGGTTCCTTCAAAAAGTGGTCTTTTAGACAGGTGGTGCTGTAATACCATATTTCCATATGTATTTTGTGCACTTTTTAGCCATTTCTACTAAGCAAAACTCGAGGCAAGCAAAAATAAGCAAATTTTTTCAACGATAGGGCTATATTGGTATTGTATTTTATTCTTATCGGATAACCCAATTTACAGGAGTCGTCATGATATTATAAGACAAATTTAATACCAATATTTTAAAGATTAATACAATACTCGCATTTTCTCGATTATAATGCACACTTTCTTTTTTCCGACTTAATTAATTTGACTCGGTTCTTTTCGTTCGCTCCTCAGTCACGTGTATTACATCATCAATATAAAACTGTGTCCTATCTCTTCATCACTTTGCTTTTGGTTTCGTTAGTTTAATCTTATTTTAATTTTTAAAATACTGTATTTTTTTAATACAATAGAGCATCGATTATCCAACTCCAATTAACCGTTACATCGGTTAACCGACCGTTCTAGTCGGCAAATTTCAAATGTCTGCTAGTGATGTGGCACTACAATATTTGGCTATGTCTTGGCTACTTTATTATTTTTTTT